ATGTTATGAAATGTTTATAATAATAAAAAATTAGTCAACCACATTATTAATGTACATAATAGCTAAAATTTATTTATATTTAGTATTTAGATATAGGATACAGCATGTATATAATACTAAGATAGTAAAATGAAGTTTTGAATAAATGAATCATTATACTCTTTCCCATTGCTTAGCTGTATCCTTCTGCTTTAATGAGAAAAACTCTGGGTCCCACTATCTGCCATCAGTTTAAATGCTTGTTTAATGTCAGTATACTTTTATAGTCGTTTTGGAATTGTAAATCAGTACCATTATGAGGAAATAAAACACATTATCAACTATAGTCCAGTATTTTGTACAGTTTTTGCCCTTATTCTTGCAAACTTCTCTCATTTTGGAGTTATATGACATATAAGTGGGATCATACAGTACGTGAACATTTTGCATGGACTTTTTGTAAGTAATGATGATTGAACCCAAGGCCTTCACAGTAAGTTACATTACCAACCCTTTTTATTTTGAAACAGGGCATTGCTAAGTCACTAAATTGCTCAGGATGGGCTTGAATTTATGAAACCTACCTTGGTTTCTCACAATCTTTGGTGATAGTTGTGTGCCATTATGCTTCCATGGACTTCTCTAATTCAGCAATATGCATTTAAGATGTCTCCATTTCACTGCCTATAGGTATAGCTTTATAGCTCATTCCTTTTTAATTCCTGAATAGTACCCATTCTAGAAATATGCTTTCATGTATAAAAGTCATTTTGTTGCATTCAAGTATTTAATGGCTATGCATCGTGCAGCCATAGCATTTTTTCTTTAACTTTTATTTTAAAGAGAATAAAACTAAGCAAAATAAAACAGAATAAAACCAATCAGAACAAAACAGCATAAGTGATACAGGATTTTAAAACAAGATAATAGGAAATCAAAAATGGTTACCATAGTGCCTCTTGTTTGTTTTCAGAAAAGTTTATCTTTAGATATATTAATGATCAAACAGAACATAATAGAACTAATAAAAACAAAACAATGAACACAATAAAGGACTTCAAAACAAGACAGGAGTCAATTCAAAATGGCTACCATAAAATATCTTGTTATCTTTGAAATAGCTGCCCATGATAAAATCAACCAACACAAAGCGGAATAAAACCCAACCAAACAAAACAATGAAAATGACACAGAACTTCAAAACAATAGAGAATTAACAATGGCTACCATCGTCAGAAGGAATTTTCCCCCATAGATGCTACACTGCATATTGCTGTCCTCTGAATAGATGGTCAGACTACTGGTTTTAGACCTGCAAAGTTAGTGCAACACTAAACACCAAAACCATTAAGTTGTATTTTACCTCAGTAGCTATCATCCCAGCTTGTTTCTCCAGATCAGCTGGATGTTTACAGGGGGTTTGGGGACACACACATTGGCTCTTCTTTCCCAGCCCACACACTGGAATAGGCTAGTGTCTGGTTCTCCCCTAGCAGCCCACACATGGCACAAACTCACAGGGAAGGCTTGGCTTCTTGTTCTCCTCTCTCACAGTCTACAAATGACACTGACTCATGGGAAAAGGCTCGTCTGGTTCTCCCCACCGCGGCCCATGCATGGCACCAACTGGCAGGGAAGGCTTGGAGCACTCTAGTTTTTCTGTGGACATACTTATTCAAACCAGTGGAGTAAATGGCTAAGGATGTAAATGTTCAATAATACAGTAAGACTGTATTTAGCTATATAAAAGCTCCAAAAGTGTCTTACAGTATGGCTATAACATTTTCACTCCACAGTCTGTGAGTTTCTGTTTTTCTGAATTTTCATGACTGTGAAGAATCATGGCTATTTTATCATTGTTTTTGGCTGCATTGCAGTTGATCAATGACTCTTAATTTTCTACCTTGTAAGATATGTATAGAATTATACATATGTCACTAGATGATATATAACTATTATGCCTTACAGAATGTCATATCTTCCCCTATCCAAACACATCAAAAGTCCCTTAAAAGTACTACACAAACATACATATTTTATTCTGATCCCCTTCACCACTAATATTGGTCAAGCTTTACATATTTGTTAATTAATTTTACCTGGTACGACTGTTTCTAGCAAAGCCAGAGGCACTAGACTCTGCCAAATAAAACATTATTCAGCCCTCAAACAATACTTGAGATAGATGGACAATAGAACCATCATGACCTGGTGAAAGTGTTTCTGAATGATGTTTATAGACACCTCCTTATATTAAAATCAAATATAAAAATCTATCTTCCATTCTGAATCAGCAGTCCTCTCTTGAACTTGCCCAGTGTTTTTCTGCAGTGCAACAATAAACTTTCAACTTTTCTATATTTCTTGACTATTGATGTTATTATGGTTTATGTCTAGATAGCCCCTCCAAGCCTAATTTAATCATGGAGGTGGCTAAGTCTAGCATTTGCCACTGTTTGTTGTTGTCTTGCACTGGAACTGGCAATGTGAATGGTGCAGCCGATCAGGGGCAGAACTGACATACGGTGTAAGGGTAGAAAGGAGGCATGGTTTTGCCTGGTTTGCCCTGTTTACTTTGCTGCTGCCACCATGAACGGCTGTCCCACAGCCATGCCACCCTGCCTTACAGTCAGCTGAGTATGGACTGAAACCTCCAAAAACTCTAACAAATAAACCTTGCCTTCCTTCATTTTGGGTGTTAAGTATTTTGTCTCAACAATGAATGAAAAAAGTAAAAGACAGCTGGCAAATTCTTTCTGCACCCATGACTCTGCTTCTAACATCCTATGTCAAGCATGACAACCACCATTTGTTGTTTTCAGACTTTTGGGGTGGTGGTATTTGAGCCATTCTAAGGTGGGGAGTTGCATTCCACTGTTGTTTAACATTGTGTTTCCCTAATTTCAAGTGATTAATCTTTTAGAATGCTTATTTGCTATTTGTATATCCTCTTTGATTAGTTGTCTGTTCAGTTCTTTTCCCATTAATTGAGGTGTTTATCTTCTTGCAGTATTATGCATTCTTTATATACTTGAGATACTCATCCTTCTAGATATGTTTTGCAAACAGTCTGTGGCTTGTTTCTTCCTTGTAATTCCAAACCTACTCATTTCTACTCTGCTCTATGTGCTGTGTTCTGATTCCATAAGTCAGATTCTCCTCAATAGACTGGTCCTATTCCATTATGATGCAATATACAAAGAATGACTGTAAGGTTTTGGGGGAGGAAAAGGAAGGAAACAGCTTTGTTTTAAATTTGTGTTACTGTCAGCTGCACTGCTGTCACTGGCAGTTGTGTTTTGCTTCCAGCATGTTTCTCAGTGGACCTCCTGGCTGACTTCCCTTATGGCTTAGCAATTCAGATACCAAAACATCTGCACAGAGCCGTCTTCTCTGAGACTTGAGGCCAGCTCTAAGAACTTCCTCCTCCAAGGTCCATAAATATCAGGATCAATGGGTGGAAAACCATGTGGATCTAAGCTTATATGCTGTGAAAACTCTGCATTTGTCTGCTTTGGTACTGTAGTTTATAGCAACAATATTTGTAATAGTTAGATTTTGGAAACAATCCTAATACCCAACTGAAGACTGGATTAAAAGGATGTGGTATTTTTATATAATGGAGCACTATTCAGCCAAAAAGAAGGACAGACTGGAAACTTTTACAGGTAAATGGATACAACTTTAGATGATATTCATAAGTGAAATAAGACTCCATGAGTAAACATCATATTGTCTTGTTTGTAGAGAAACTGAAAGAGTAAATAAGGTCTAACACAATAGATGTTATGAAGTGGAGCGAAATTATTTAAAAGGAAAAAGGAACTACAGTGGGTGAAAGGGGAAAGGACAGTAGGGAAAAGGGAAAAATGAAAGTTATATTATTAGTGTCTCACAGATTATTAAAAATGAAAGTTTGTGCTAATATCAATTGGAAAAATTTTTGTGCCTATGTCTTGTACCCTGAGCAACTACTTTAAAGATAACAACATATCGTATATTAACTATTGATATTCACCTGTTATTTTGTTACGATACTTTGTTTTAAATTTTTTCTATAAAATAAAAAAAATGGATAGTGAATTTCTTCAAGTCAGTGAAAAAGACATTAACATAACAAAACAACACATACTGGGGGCTTAACCAATAGAAATCTATTTTCTTAGATATGGAGACTAACTGTCCCAAGATCAATGTGTCAGCAGATGGTGATCACTCTTGAGGCTTCTCCTTGGCTTGCACATGGGCCTGGTCTCTGTCCTCACACAGCCTTTTCTCCGTGCTATATTCTCTTCCTCTTTCCATAAGGACACCACTGTTGAATTTAGTCCTCACCCTGGGTGCTTATTTTAACTTGCCTCCCTAAATGTCTAATCTCTAATTACTGTTCCCTTCTGAAGTCCTGGGCTTGGAACTTTAACGTATGACTTTGGGGAAGACATAATTCAGCCCATAGCATTACTGTAGAAAGAGGAAGAACAAAAGTTGCATGAGGAGAAACTTTAAGGAGCAGATCTTATGGTTTCTGGAGGGAAGTCTAGGAAACAAAAATGAAGATAGAGGCCAGAGAATGGAATGCTTGAGTGCATTATTGTATTGTTTCAGAAGGTAGAGCAGTTCCTAGGAAGAAACAAAGATCTGTGAGTCATCTTCTATGTCCCACAAAAAGTCGCTCAGCACCTCTAATCCTTTACCTCTGTTTGGATGAGTAGTTTTTGACCATGTGAGCATGAGAAAGTCCATTGTCCTTACAGAGTCATCATCTGAGTAACGCACATCTGTTATTTGTTACCCAGTTGATTACTCATGCTCCCTGAACTTCAAGTTGGGAAAATCAAATAAAATGATGAATGTAATATACCATATATAAAATATTATGCTTTATTATTCAATAACAGTTATATTTTAAATGTTTTTGTATAATTATTTATAATCACGTAATAAAGAGCAGATACTAGCTTCTCCATGCTGTGTGATAGGTAAGCACAAACCTCTCCATAGGATAAAGGTTGATTTTCTACCTGGAATGGGAGTAGAGGCGGTAAAAAGACTGAAGTAGTTAGAATTCACCCATCAAACTTAAATTTGTGTTTTCTCTTAGTGTCTTCTCCAGTACACAGGTGACTGCTGAGGCACTTTTCTCTATTTCATGGACACTTCTTGTTTATGACTTCACTTTTTTGGCTCTCATTTTTTCAGTAGTCATTCCTCTTGACCCTTCGATGGCACTAATGAAACTGCATGGATAGAGTGGAATACAAAGAATCATTTAGAACAAGTGACCATGTTGCTTCCAGTGGTCTGAGAAGTGGCTCAAGGTAACCCCAGAAAAACTGGACCCTCTTGATAAATTTCAGAACCTGTCAGTGATCTACGAGCTAGCTGTGGGTCCTGAAGATGTTCCATGCTCCTACGCAGCATGCTATGGTCACAGAGGGACTCTCAATCCTGATAGGCCAATGGTCTGTATTAAGTACCAAATCCTGCTTATCATGAGGACTAGCTGCAAGAAGTCCCTAAAATGGGTTTAGTGGGTCTGAGACCCTCTCTGAAGGCACTGTCTTCATGCCCAGAGACATGTTCACCATGGAGCCTCCCAAGGCGCATGTACACATACTCTCTTACCAGGATGGAAGTCCATCTCACCTCAACAGTGCTCTTACTCAGTCACCAGGAGGGGAAACTTAAGGCATGCAGCTTGGGAGAGAAGCAGGTGTTGGAGTACCAAGATGTGACAATAGAGACACCCTCATCCTTTCCCATCCATGAGGTCATTCTCTTCTTTCATCTTTCCCAGTCCTTTCCTACTCACTCAAATTTCAATACTCTCTGCTTCATTTTTCTGCAGTCACTGTATGGCCTAAGAATAGTGCACTCTGAACTGTCCCCACATCGAGGACCGTGGGACCCATATGTTCTGCAGTGATGTCACTGAGCGCAGCCCTATGTAGATCCTCAGTTAGGTGCTTCATTTTCCAAAGGTGATCACCAGCAGAGGAAAATCATTTTTTAGTGTGTTTCAAAATGAATGTAGCAGATCTTCAAGTATTACCTACCACAGTCTTAGACTCTGACATTACCAATCTCATCAATATTCACTGCCTTCCATCAAAACTCACCCAGTTCCATGACCATGGTACAATAACACTTTTATAACATGTAAAAAATCAGTTTCAAATTTTAAAAAATCCTGTCTCTGAACCTCTTTAGATCTAGGTTTATGCAATTTTTACATTACTAGCATTGAACCAGGTCCCTTCTTATGGTGAGAGAATGACCTGAGTGTTACTTGACAATAGAGGAGATTTCTTCCCTAAACTTGTAAACAATATACTTTCCTCTAGCTTTCAGTTTTGCTAATTTCTTGCATTGCTTCATCTTCTCTTTGGCCACTTCTGTTGGGAGGAAAGACATGAGAACTTGCTCTGCTTTACCAACCCACTATATCTCATGTCCACAGTTTTCAACAAAGGACTAAGGGGCTTACACACATTCATGCCTTGTGCCACTTGGAGCTTTCTACCCCTTACATTGGGTACAGACATGAAAGAAAAGTAGATAGACAGCCTAACATTTTCACATGAAATAGGGAGGTAAAAATACCCACTCTGTACTTGCTGAGCTCCTTAATCACCTGCAAAAGCACTGAGCTAAGAGTTCTGTGCCCCCTAGACCAGAGATGATGAATCTATGACATGCACGCCACAGCAGAGTCCTCTTTGCCAATGCGAGCCAAGTTGCCCCAGAATCGCCTCAGGAGCTAGCATCCAGGATTAACTGCAGTTTGGGTTCTTGGTCTCTAAAAGGTTGTGATCACTGATCTAGACCGTGTCAAATGGCAAGGGGCAAGATGTGGGGATCACCTACCTATTTGCTGTGGGGGCACTGACCAGGGGTAGGTATATTATGGACATGCAAAGGTAAGGAACTTTTGGAGCCACATGCCCAAAATTTCTTGAATATATGCTTAGAGATTAAAAAGACAGTCTACAGGGCCACAAGTCCAAGCATGATCAAAATATACTGCCTCAAGGAATGAAGTGCTGGCCTTCATCCTCCCCATGCTCCTATTTATTATTTCGATTGGCCCTAATGTCATGTAACGGACCAACGTGACCTTCCTCTCTTTCCCCTTACTCCTATAAGAACTCCTGCAACAATATCCTTCCATTGTTCTTTATTCTTCCTTCCAAGTTCTATCAATAAAAAGCCATAGACTCTCTCATGCTGAGGGGTATCAGTTAAAGGCAGTCCCTCTAGACCTCCCTGTAGTTCAAACTGGATATTGACTCTGAGTAACCTTTCATTCTTTGTGTTGTGCCATGATGGTGAACTGAAACAATGTTCACCAAGGCTGAGAAATGGGTAGCGGTGTCCACTTCCCAGTTTCATTAGGAAGTGAATGGAGTCCTGGGTTCAGGAGAAAGTTGTGCCTCCAGACTTAAAATCAACCCTTCTGAACTCAGGGCCTCACTACCCTAAAATCGTTCTACTTCTGGGATGTGTATAGTTTCTTTCATTTTACTATTTCTAGGTGCTCAATGAGGAATTTTTAACTCTGTGAGTCCTAACTGACGAAATCCATGCTCAGACCACATAATGTCCAAGGTAATAAGGCAGCAGAGTGGTGGACTGAATGATCCAGAATACAGGCTGGGGTCTTTGCTAGAATTTCTACTTTCATAGGAATGAAGTGTTTGCCTAGATATTTACTTCTATTTCCACTGGCAATGACAAAGTAATGCATTTTAAAGTGAAGTTAACTAGGATAGTGGTGTGGCAACCACTGTCACATTCTCTAATTCTCATTTTATTCTATAAGCCATTGCCAGTTCTCGAAAAGAGCTAATCACCCCTTTAAATTGCCCAAATCCAAGCTCATAGGATACCTGATTGCTATGGTTTATATCTAAATGTGCCCATAAAACCTCATATGAGCACAAAGGGACCTGGGGGAGGTGACTGGATCACAGGGACACTACCCTAATTAGTAAGTAGCTAACCACACTGTCAGGAGATGGGCCACTGGAGGCAGGGCCTGGAAGAGTACATTTCCCTCCCAGGATCCTCTCCTGCTCAACTGTCACAAGACAAGCAGCTTTCTTCTACTGTGTGCCCCTGCTAGGATGTCCTATCTGGCAACCAGCAGACTATGGACTGAAATCTCTACAAATTGTGAGCTGAATCTCACCTTTAGATTGTAAGTTTGAGTGAGTATTGTGTCTCAGCAACAAGAAAATGACCAAGACACATCTCCCTCTGAACACAAGAGCACCATTCTCATTTAGAAAAACAAATTATACACAATCATTTTGTATGAGAAGCAGCGATCATCCTTTCCAAAGGACAGGGCCTTATTAGAACAACTGATGTTCTGAAAATGCAATAAAACATATTTATGAGGGAAATTTTCCTTTCAGGAGAGTAAAGAGGATCTTCTAGTTCATTGGTAAGGCCACTCCACTAGACAAAACCTAGAGCAGAGTTAAGAACAAACTGATGAGCCTATGAAGGGACGCAGACTCCTTGGGGAGCATTAAGATGCAATTCAATGGAATCAAGGGGCTGGAGCACAGTGACTCACTTCCACACCGCTCTCTGTAGGTTAGTCATATGTAGTCTTTAAATTATCCACTTGCTTACTGCTTAGGAACCTGTGAGGATCTGGGATGATCTTGCATGCCTGTAATCCCAGCATTAGGGAGGCTGAGTACGGAATGTACTCAGTTTGAGTCTCACCTGAGCAACTTGGCAAGAACTTGCCTCAAAGGAAGAAATAAAATAGAACAGCTGAGGATGTAGCTCAGTGGTAGAACCCCTCTGAATTTGATCACCAGTACCACATAACTAAGTAAGTAAAAAAAAAAATAGACTGTATAGCTCACCAACCAATTTTTTCATCGAGAAGTCTGAAGGGGAGTCTGAAAACTGGCCTTGCTTAAGTGCCTCAGTGATGCTCTGTTATCTGCTTGGTGAAATGCACTGAAGGCCTAGTCTCATTCAGGTCCCAAATCACATAAGACCCTATGATTTTTGGAAGAAGAAAGTATTCTCGATGGGAACTAGATGGTAATTTTTTTCTATCTCTGCTTTTTCATATTAGCACAGTTCAAAAGGTCATTTGTATTATTAAAGAGGTTATGAATAGACACTATGCAGAGATTTTTACAACTCCAAGTGCCTTGTACCACAAGACAATACCTGCTTGAAAAAGACCCAAGCCAATTTCATCCTATACATGACTCTGGTGCTCTTGTCATGTGGATGAAGGAAATCAAGACTGTTATCATACCAACTGATGGCAGAAAAGAATGCTGTGAATAACAAAATATTAAGGCACTGAAGGACAGGACATTGGATTCAGTGATGATAAAATCATCCAGTAACATCCCTTTGAGAAGGATAAATTCTTGGTAAATGAAGAGTCTTGGGGGCCAGTATAACTATAATCCATCATAAAACATGGTCAAATAATGCTCTACCTGTTCATGAAATGTGCTGTAGTTCTCAATCATGGAAGTTCTGGAACCCAGAACAATGGATTTACCCACAAAAATGGATTTTACTTGTCCACACTAACTTTTCTTTAAAATGGCGCCCACTCTGCCAATAAACTGGCTTTTTGAAAGAATATCCAAGAGTCTCTGATGTGCTTTAATGAGACAATACCCATTAAATTATTCACTGATGTCTGTTCTGAGGTGAATCAGAAGTCTCTCTTTCAAGGTATTTTCACCTTGCAGGGACAAAATAGAACAGGAACATGTCGCTAATTCTGATACAGGATGATTAATTCTCTAAAACAGCTGTTAAAGAGGCTCTCAGCACTCAGCATTGTGAATTAAGAACTGTACCAAGGAATTAGAGTTCAGGAAAGATGTAACAATTAGCTGCGTTTTTCACAGGGGGTGATTGAGAAATGTCCTAGCAGATATGGAGTAAGATTGCTCTTTTAATACTGAGTCAGATGGAAAGGGATGTTGCTACACTGAATATATTTCCTTTTTTTTTTTTTTTTTTTTTTTTTTTTTGTACTGGGGACCGAATTCACCACCTCACACTTGCTAGGCTGGTGCTTCTGCTGCTGCGCCAAATTGTGGCCCTCTTAAGTGCCCTCTTAAAGGTAACTAGTTTAGCTCAGTAGCATAAATGCTTGCCTGGCAAGAACAAGGTCGTGAATTCAACCCCTAATATCAAAACAAAACAAAAATGTAAGATTATGCACAAAATTTCTTGGCATTTTTACCTTCAGGTTGTCAGGCCCTATCTACTTTCTAGTGTCACAGCAGGTGGAGGGGCCATTCATCAGCAGTCTCGCTTCAGAACAGAAGGCTGGAAAAAGAAAACACATTGGTTCCTTCTCTTTTCATAGCTACTCATGCCCCAAAGGTGCCACACCCTGTGTAAAGTTGAAGACTCATTCTCTTTGCACCAAAGACATGAGTCACACTGTTGGGGTTAAATTTTGACAGGGAAGAGTCTCTTTTTAGTTCTAGAGGAAAGTTCCAAGCAACACATCTCCCCTCGTGCAAAGGTCAAAAGCCTGTTGCCATACACTTGTTCCTGCAAACACTTGGCACCAGGAGCCCTTTTCCTGTGAGGGCCTTAATAGCTCACACAGCTGCTGGTCCAGCTGTTTCTTTTAAGCCACATGAGCTGCCTTATGTTCCAAAAATATTCAACATAACAAGGGAGTTTTCTTGTTGCAAGTTTTAGCAAAACATTAAAGTATCACTCACTCTCTATTTTCTATCTGCATCTATCTGGGAAACCTTTAAGCCAGAAAATAAGCTGCAGGTGTGGTAACAGAACCACACAAGTAAGGAGATTGAATGCAGAGGCTGCCCTAGGAATTACTACACTGGAGAAGAAACTACTACAGTGTAGAAGGGAACAGATCCAGCAAAGCAGGCAAAGATGCCAGAAGTGTGCCAGGGTCCAGAAAAGCAGAATACAGTATGTCTCTCCTATGCCAGCCTAAAAGATTCCTTAAAACTTCAGATACTAATTTAAGCCACTGTGCTCACTAAATATAAGTCAAATATACCTTAGTATGATGCATACTTATTTTTAGTCTTTAAGTTTCTTGCCAGAACTCAGCTAATTCTTGTGAGTCATTCAGCTATAAAGGAAATTGGTACAGTTTCAAACTATTGTATAGAAAAAAATTTAAGTCTTACATAGATCTACATTTGGAAAATGAAGTATCTTCCTCTTATTAATTTTGCTGAAGGAACTAAACTATATGTTTTACAAGATCCTTTACCAGCTCTACAGCGTAAATATTCTAACCTCATCTTCCATTTTAGAAAACTAAGGTTCAGTTGTGTTGCCTGGGAGAACAGGTGTTCCCTGCAAGGATCCCACATAGTATATTGTAGGTTTTTTTTTAATATAACAGATTGCTGTTATTGCTTTGCAGAATTTACTTCCTTTTTCTCTTTGGCCTTGTCATTTTCATGGATACATCCGTATTGATTTTGGATAGGGGTTGGGGGAAGGAAGTACTGGGACTTGAACCCATGGCCTTAGCACTAAACTACATACATAGTATTTTTCTCTCTTTTTTAAAATTTTGAGACAGGGCCTTACTAAGTCGTTAAGTTGTCCAACCTGGGTCTTTCTGTTTTAGCTTCCCAGAGTGAAAAGAAATTCTTTGATCCAGTTCCACTTTTTATCAGATGAAAAAAATTCCCGAAGTATTTGTATTTATTACAGTATGGTTCTTTTTGAATCCATGAAATTTCATGAGTTCTATAAATCAATGTTGAGGCAAGCCATGCAGAGCCCAGGAAAAATCAGATAGCACATCCTGAGAATCTGCCATGCTGGGACTGGGAGGAGCCAGATCCCTGGTACCGATAAAAATGAAAAAGACAAAAAAAAAAAAAAGAAGCCAACTAAGCAGCCCTTCTGGTAAGCTGCACAGGCTATGCCGGGCCCAGGAAGAGAAAAATCAGATAGCACCTCCCACAAGCTTACCAGCACAGGGGCTGAGAATCATCAACTACTGCCTCCCCACCTCCAGCAAACAGCTGGTTTGGACAACAGGCTAAGTTGATAGCAACTGAGGTATGAAAAGCAACTGAATGTTTGTATTGTTAAGTTGACTTTGCAGGCTGGGGCCAGTGGTCTGAGCACCTATTGAAAGGATGACAGTATGCAGTATAGCAAATATGAGGGGTTTCCTTCTATGTTTTTGAAGTCCAGTATCATTCTGCTTTGTTTTGTTCTTATTGTTTTGCTTTATTTGCTATTCTGTTTGGATTGTTTTTATTCTGTTTTGTTTTGGTTTGATTTTGTTATATTTGATGGAATGGACAACTACTGGGAAGATAATGATATTCTATGGTAGTCATTGTTGCTTTCCTTTTATCCTGCTTTGAAGTTCTGTATCAATTTCACTGCTTTGTTTTGACTTGATTTATTGTTTTGTTTTGTTGGCTTTTGTTATCTTTAAAATAAAATTTTAGAAAATCAATGTTTACTATCACAGCACAATTCCAGAATTAATCAGGTAAAAATATTAAAAGACTACAACAAGAAAAAGTCTTATAATATCTAGCACTGCCAGAAAAGAAACTGTGTATAAGGTAGCAACAGCAGAAAACCAACGACAGTAAGAAAAATTAAAGTACCAGAAGATTAAAGACAGTATTGGCCCTGGGATGGTTGTGCCAGAGAGAGAAGTTTAAATTCATGCTTTGCCCTTCCTCAATTGCCCCAGGACTGTGGTGTAAACGAGAGGACTGTAAGTTCCCCTTCTTCCTTCTTCCACTGCATCAGAACCACAGAGGAATGTAAGTTCATGCCCCTTCCTTCCTGTGCTGCCCCTGTACTGCAGTGCCAGTAAAGAGGAGACATCTAGCGAAACACACACCTCCTAGAAAGCCTCAACATCAGTGATAAGGCTACTTAGCATTAGAGACTAAAAGTATCAATAAAGAAAACAAAACAGAAAACAAAAATCACAAGACAAAGAAGGAAAATATGGTCCCAAATGCCCACGCACCCAGGGGAAGTCCAGAACACAAAGAGACAGAGGAAAGATGAAGCCAACAAACAGCTGAAATCATAGCAGCAGAAGTGGAAAAACAAATGGAAGAGGCCACAGAAAAAATAATTTCCAAGGTGCAAAAAGAAATGACAATTAACATAAAAGACACTGACAGAAGACACAGATAAACAAATAGAGGAACTCAGGAAAACAATGGAAAACATGAATGCCAAACATAGATAAGAAATGGAATCAGTGAAACAGATCTAAACAGAAATGCAAGAGATTAGAAACTCCACTGAATGAAGGCAAGAGGAAAGTACAGAATATCACATCTAAAAGATAGGAATGTGACTAGAATAGCGACAAGGAAAAGAAAGATATCTTAAAAATTGCAAGAGACCACAAAAAAATCAACCAACAGCTACAGGACGACGCAAACAAGAACAGCATAAGTTTGATTGGAATCAGTGAGAAGTTGGAGATAGCCCAAAAACTATTAAAAACTTCTTCACAGAAATAATGGCAGAAAACTTTTCAAACATGGATAAAGAATTTAACATAAAAAATGAAGCATACAGAACTTCAAATAAAGCCATTACCAAAATAAATCTATACCAAGACATATAATAATCAAGATTCCAGAAATTCAGCACTACAACAAAATATTAAAAGCAACTAGACAAAAGAAATATATCACCTATATTCTGATGGGAAAACCCATCAGAATCACAGCGATGCCTCAACACAAACCCTCAAATCAAGAAAAGCTTTGAGTGAAGTATTTTAAGCCCCTAAGGAAAATAATCTACAATCCAGATTGATGTACCCCCTCAAAACTAACTTTCTAAATTGTTGAAGAAATAAGATACTTCCATGACAAAGAACAACATACAAAATTTATGACCACCAAACCAGCTCTACAGAATGCTCTGAAAGACATATTAGAAAAAGACAATAAAGACCATAAACACAGGAACATCAATAGAAAGAAGCCATGAAGCAAGACAAGGAAGTAAACAGAGCAGAAAGACAAGGAACAAACAACAAGAGAACAACACGAACAAGAAAAGCCAAAACATATCAGTTATACCTATCAATGTAAATGGTCTCGACTCACCAATCAAAAGAAACAGACTGGCACAATAGATCAAGAAGTAAGATCCAACAATATTCTGCATTCAAGAAACATATTTCACCCCAAAAAGAAATTCAGAGCCTAAAAGTCAAAGGATGGAAAATAATTCTTGCCATGGGAACCCAGAAAAAAGTGAAGATTATGACACTATTTGCAGACAATGTGAAAGAAGGTCACCACATATTTGTTAAGAGAAAACTCGAGGAAGAAGAAATAACAATCCTAAGTATTTATGCACCAAATACAGGTTAACCCAACTACATAAAACAAGTATTAACTGATATGAAAACCCAAATAAGCAATAACACAATGGTAGTGGAGAACCTCAGTACCCTGTTCTCATAAATGGATAGATCAACTACACAAAATGTCAACAAAGAAATATTAGAATTAAACCAAAGCTGTGAACAAATGGACTTGGTAGATGTCTACAAAGTGTTCCACCCCAAAACATCAGAATACACATTCTTTTCAGCTGCACATGGGACCTTCTCAAAAACGGACCATATATGATAAAACAAGTTTAAATAAATGTAGAGGAAATCATCCCATGCATAACATCTGACCATAGCACATGAAAGTGGAAAACAATAACAAAGGAAATCACAAAAACTACTTTAGCATAAGTAAATTAAACAACACCCTTCTAAACAACCAATGGGTCAGAAATTAAAGATGAAATTAAACTGTATATACAATTAAACAATAATGCCCATATAACATACCAAATTTTATGGGCAGCAATGAAAGCAGTCCTATGAGGGAAATTTATAGTGATAAATTCACACATCAGGAAAACAGCATGAGCACAAATAAACAACATAATGTTGAACCTCAAACTTCTAGAAAATTAAGAAAAATCAAACCCAAAGCTCGTAGGAAGAAAGACTTTACAAAGAGCAGAAAGGACATAATACAAATAATCAATAAATTAAAAGTTGATTCTTCAAAAGAATAAACAAAATTAATAAACCATTAGTCAAAGTCATCAAAAAGAGAAAGGAAAAAAACATTAATTCAAGCAATTAAGAATGAAAAGGGAGAAATCACAAATCTCACAGAAATTCAGGAGATCATCAATACTTACTATGAGAATTTTTATTCTAATAAGATGGAAAACACAAAAGAAATAGATTCCTAAACATAACTTAATTGCTAAAACTAAATCAAGAAGATATAAAATTTTAAATAAACCAATATCAGTCAATGAAATTGAAAATGTAATTAAAAATTTATCACCAAAGAAAAGCCCAGGTCCTGATGCATTCACTGCTCAATTCTATAAGAAACTCAGAGAAGAACTAACGCCACTAATACTGAAACTCTTTAAAGAAACTGAAAGGGAAGTGGTACTTCTAAAGTGATTCCTAGAAGCAAGTATTTCTCTGATTCCAAAACTAGAGAAGAACCCAACCAAGAAAGAAAACTATAGGCCAGTCTCCCTAATGAACACTAATGCAGAAATCCTTAAGAAAATACTGGCAAAGAGAATGCAGCAAATCAATAAGAAGATTATATATTATGACCAAGAAGGATTAATCCCAGGAATGCAGAGATGGCTCAACATATGCAAATTAATAAATGTAATACACCATATTAACAGACCCAAAAACAAAATTCATACGTTCATCTCAATAGATGAAGTCAAAGCACCTGACAAAGTCCATGATAAAAACCTCTTCTGGAGAAAACCTTCCAGAAAATTGGAATAAAAGGTCTTTATCTTAATCTGATAAAAGCCATGTATAACAAACCAACATCTAACATCATATTAAATGATCAAAAACTGAAAGCTTTCACTCTAAAATCAGGAACATTACCACCACTCCTATTCAATGTAGTTTTGGAATCATTGGCCAGAACAATGAGACAAGAGAAAAAATAGATAGAAAAGGAAGAAGTTAAATTATATCACTTATAGGTGACATGATACTCTACATAGAAGACTCCAAAAACTACTGACAAACCTGTAAATTTAATATCCAAATTCAGTAGTGTAATAGGATACAAAGTCATCATTCGACGCTCAATAGCATTCCTGGACACAAGCAACGAACCTCACAGAGAGACAGATTAGGGAAAGCACACACCCTTCACAATAGCATTTAAAAAAAATGAAACACTTAAGAATGAATCTAACGAAGGATGTAAAAGATCTCCACAGTGAAAATTACCATATATTAAAAAAAAAGTTTGAAGAAGATACCAGAAAATGGAGAGATATCTGTTGTTCATGGATAGGAAAAACAAACATAATGAAAATGATCATACTGACAAATTTTTATAAATTTTTAATACAAACCCAATCAAAATACCACTAGCATACTTTGCAGATCTAGAGAAAACATTCCTAAAATTCATTTGGATTTCAGAAAACACCTAGAATAGAAAAAAGCATCTCTGGCCAACAAAGGCAAGCCACGGGGCATCAAAATCCCAGATCTGAAATTATATTACAAAGTTACTGTGATTAAATCAGCATGGTATTGGCAAAAAAGCACAAGTCTGAGGATCAGTGGAACAGAACAGATGATATAGACACAACTCCAAACACACTCAGCCACCTTATCTTTGGCAAAGGAGCCAAACATGTTCACTAGAAGATAGCCTGTTTAATAAATGGTGCTAGAAAAAGTGGCTTTCCAATGCCTAGGACTAAACCTAGACCCATGTCTATCACTATGCACTAAAGTCAAAGAGTATAAAAGATGTAAATATTAAAACAGGACATCAAATTTACTAGAAGAGAATATATGTTGAAATCTCAAAGACACAGGTGTAGGCAGAGACTTCATGAACAAAATCCAGACTGTAACAGAATTAGTACAAAGAATCAACAACTTACCATTTTGGTACCCTTTTCAAGTTCCTCATTGTCTATCCTTTACTAACAATGTGAAGGTCCCCAAGACTCAGTTTTCATCCTTTTTCTCACCCTCTGCTTGATTTCTACAAGATTTCATTCATTTCTAAACCTTCAGAAACAGATATAGCTGATTTCCCAGCTAATATCTCCAGTTATAGTAGGCTTTATGTTCTAAAACTGATTGTCAAGGCTGAATCTTCAAATTCTCCTTTCCTGTGATAGAAAACACTTTTTTTAGGCCTATGATGTTAGCATATAAGTAAAATTATTTTATTTTAATTAATATTTTCATAATTCCTTCCAAAAGGAGAAAAGTTCCCCAATAGGACATTTATAAAAGATCTGAAACTGTGAAAGCCATCACAGAAAAGTGTTATGTATAATGTGAGTTAAATCAATGAAAAATTGAATGTTCATTCTTCACTTGATGGCCTTATTAAAAATATGTACAAAAACATTAAAACATTAAAAAGAATAACTTTTAAAATATAACAGTGAACACTATGAAATTGCACAATGTAAACAAGATATTGTATATGTAAAAGTGCTAAAATAATAACTATATTAGAATAGAAAGTTAAGCATATAAGCAATTAACAATCCTATTTATTATGGACTGATATACTAAGAACTGAATGATTGCTTTAACACAGTTGCATAACACCACCACCAAGTGTTGTGACAAATTTGATTCAATTAATTTCATAATTAAGGCAGAAAAAAAATCTTTGAAATGACCAAATGTGAGTGTATGAAGTGTCCCTGATAATCACTAATAATCAATTCTGGTTCCTCCGCTATTGATTGTATTTGCAATTATATAGTAATAAAAAATTTTAAAATTTCCTGATTTCTTGTTCTAACAACTTCACACATACGATAGCTCTATTCTTTCTTTTCCAGATAGAGACTGATTTCTTGAAAGTACCTCTTCACACCCAATATGGGGCAGATACTACTCAACTGAATCCTGTAACCCCCACTTCCTTTGCCAAACAGATTTTCAGGACTTCCCAGTGTTGACAGTCCAGAGAATTTCTCCAGGGCAGTCTCATTCCATTTAACTCCTTGTGCTTATGGAGGCTTCGAATCTGCTGGAGTATCTTGTGGAGGACAGCGGTGGTTTAAGCCTTCTGGACCTTGCTGCCATCCACCTGAAACAACAATTGTAAACAGATTAAATGTCCATCCTTTAGAGAACTATAACAACTGATGACACATTCGTTCAGGGAGCAATAACATTTTTTAAAAATATAAGTAAGATCTATAATACACTTATAGTGAAGATCTTTAGGTACAAAAGAATGATGGAAAATTCTGTGTATGGTATGGTACCTTTTAGTTAAAAATAAAGTGTATTTTAAAAATAAAAATTTTTCCTTAGCTTGGATATTTATAAAGGAACTGGAAGGATTTAAAAGACAATAACTACTTAAACATGTTAAGACAATTTGGATGAAGTTGTGTCACCGAACTAGTAATTAAAGCGATGCAAACCAAAATATCCACTTAGAAAAAAATACCACTATAGGGGAACACACAAACATTATAGACGGCAATGCTTCAGACATACTGGCTTGAATATGTTACCAAACACTACCCAAAGCAAGGTAAAAGTTTTGTGCCCTGGATTCTATAAGTTTATATTCTATAAAGCAATAGAGGGCAAGAAGGTATATAGCTATGGGGAAATAACAGACATACTGTACAGTGACTAGAAACTTGTGTAACCATTTAAAAAGCAGCGAATATAAAAGCATGAAAAATTATTTATGACAGCACTGCACTGCACTGCAAGCCAAAACTTCAGAATGTGCAATTTAAATACTGTACCATGGTCATAACTTAGTAGATACAAATAGCATTTTAAAAATAATTTTTAAAAATTGAAACTATGAACCAAAGTTTTAATTGAGGCTTCCACTAATTAAATTGAGTGACATAAAAACTATAAAGTCATTTACGGTTAGAAAAAAAGCATTTTCCTACGACCTTCTGTGTCAGGTTTCTACCAAATTTATAGAAAAACTGCATTTTCTTGTTATTTAAAGGCAGTAGCCAGGAAGTGGAAACATTATAGAAAAATCATGTACCGTGCAAACTTTATACTAAAAGTGCAGCATAAAGCACACATACACTCCCTCCAGCCTAACCTCGCCCACACCGCGGAAGAAAGTACTAGTGGGTACCCACCAGGAGCCACTCATTCGCCCCAACGCCCTCCCGCCCAGTACGCGAGAGCAAGGCCAGGCACCTGCGCAGGCGCAGTAGTCGCCTAGCCGCTCCTAGCCCGGGGGATCCTGGGACTAGTCTTTTCCGGAAGAACTGGCTTGGCGGTCAGCACCCGGCTGGTGTTCCAAGCCCAGGCCCTGGCTCAGGCCGGTGTTCCAGAACCTCACTGGAAGATAGGCTGGAGGCCGCGACGACACTCTGGTAACCGCGGAAGGCGCGGTAGGCGCGGGTTGAGGTGCTGGGACTCATCGCGGAGCGAGCCGCGGGACTGGGGGACGTGGCGGCTCCTCCTCCGTGGCCCGGAGCGGAACTGCTGAAGGAGCGGCAGCGCAGGCCCGACGAGGTGAACCGGGTTACTTAACTGCCTTCAGCAACCTAATAAGCTGATTTGAGGTCTCCAGCCCTTTGTGGCCTGCTACAGAACAGTTTTAAGTGGATGATTGGTGTTTCTTGAGGGGTGCCGCAGCGACTGCTTGCCCTTGATAAGAAAAGCAAGCTGTCTTGCTTTTCGGACAGCCTCGTTTCCTGTGAACCCATCAGGTTAGAACTCCTTTCTCCAGCATACGACTCAAAAGGAAAGCTTTCACATGAAAGTGTCTCTTGGTAACGGCGATATGGGCGTCTCTGCCCACTTGCAGCCTTGTAAGGCAGGAACTACAAGATTTTTTACCAGCAATACTCATAGTTCGGTGGTATTGCAAGGCTTTGATCAGCTAAGAATAGAAGGATTGCTCTGTGATGTGACCCTGGTACCCGGTGATGGAGATGAAATCTTCCCTGTTCACCGAGCTATGATGGCGTCTGCCAGTGATTATTTCAAGGCTATGTTCACAGGTGGAATGAAAGAACAAGATTTAATGTGCATTAAGCTTCATGGGGTGAACAAAGTTGGTCTGAAGAAAATAATTGATTTTATATATACTGCAAAACTGTCTCTTAATATGGACAATCTTCAGGACACACTAGAAGCTGCCAGCTTTTTACAAATTTTGCCTGTTTTGGACTTCTGCAAAGTATTTCTTATATCAGGAGTCTCTTTGGATAACTGTGTTGAGGTTGGACGAATTGCTAACACGTATAATCTCATAGAAGTAGATAAATATGTTAATAATTTCATCCTAAAGAACTTTCCTGCTTTATTGAGTACTGGGGAGTTTCTAAAACTTCCTTTTGAACGGCTTGCCTTTGTGCTTTCCAGTAATAGTCTTAAGCATTGTACTGAACTTGAACTCTTCAAGGCTGCCTGCCGTTGGCTGAGACTGGAAGACCCTCGGATGGATTATGCAGCAAAATTAATGAAGAATATTCGATTTCCACTGATGACACCACAAGACCTCATCAATTATGTGCAGACAGTTGATTTCATGAGAACAGACAATACCTGTGTGAATTTGCTTTTGGAAGCTAGCAATTACCAAATGATGCCTTATATGCAGCCAGTGATGCAGTCAGACAGAACTGCTATTCGATCTGATTCTACTCACTTGGTTACATTAGGAGGAGTTTTGAGGCAGCAGCTGGTTGTTAGTAAAGAATTACGGATGTATGATGAAAGAGCTCAAGAGTGGAGAGCCTTAGCCCCTATGGATGCTCCTCGTTACCAGCATGGCATTGCTGTCATTGGAAACTTCCTTTATGTAGTTGGTGGTCAGAGTAATTATGATACAAAAGGAAAAACTGCTGTTGATACAGTTTTCAGATTTGATCCTCGGTATAATAAATGGATGCAGGTAGCATCGTTAAATGAAAAGCGCACATTCTTCCACTTGAGTGCCCTCAAAGGACATTTATATGCAGTTGGTGGGCGCAGTGCAGCTGGTGAACTGGCCACAGTAGAATGTTACAATCCAAGAATGAATGAATGGAGCTATGTTGCAAAAATGAGTGAACCCCACTATGGGCATGCTGGAACAGTGTATGGAGGCTTAATGTATATTTCTGGAGGAATTACCCACGACACTTTTCAAAATGAGCTTATGTGTTTTGATCCAGATACAGACAAATGGACACAGAAGGCTCCAATGACTACAGTCAGAGGTCTGCATTGCATGTGTACAGTTGGAGATAAGCTCTATGTCATTGGTGGCAACCATTTCAGAGGAACAAGTGATTATGATGATGTTCTAAGCTGTGAATACTATTCACCAACCCTTGACCAATGGACACCAATTGCTGCTATGTTAAGAGGTCAAAGTGATGTTGGAGTTGCTGTCTTTGAAAACAAAATCTATGTTGTTGGTGGATATTCGTGGAATAACCGTTGTATGGTAGAAATTGTCCAGAAGTATGACCCAGAAAAAGATGAGTGGCATAAGGTTTTTGATCTTCCAGAGTCACTTGGTGGCATTCGAGCTTGTACCCTCACTGTTTTTCCACCTGAAGAAAACCCTGGCTCACCTTCTAGAGAATCACCTCTTTCAGCACCTTCAGATCATTCTTAGGTCTGAAGTATAGTATCTTTACAGCAGGACATGGATAAATTCATGCTTCCCTTCAGTGGTATCTTGTGATTGATACAGTTATTACACAAAAAGGTAACTTATGTTATTTGTCTTGTTGGGCTTAGTATGTTTATCGTATGGTTAACAAGTGCATTCTGAAAATGTATTCAGCTATTTTAATGAAAAAGTTATGTAGAAAAATGTTTAGATATCTTTGTGGTGTTACATAGCAAAATTGTAGGTGACTGGATAATTATGTCTATTATTTCAAAGTTGAAAATTTTTATTTGACTAAACAGCAACAAAGGAGGCTCCCTGCTCTAATCTGAAAAAATAAAAAGTTGTCAAGTATTAATAGCTGCCTCCCTCCTGGAGTGTTTCACATATCTGTCAGCTATTTTGGTTGTGTAGCTGCACTCAGAATAAACCCAAGTCAGGATTTAGATTCTCTAGAGGAAAAAAAAATAAAACTATGTACACACAGTACAAATGCACACACACACACGTACTTGTGTATAAATATATGTAACATTTTAAAATTGATTAGCATTCCAACTGTAGTAGAATTTTTAATTTTTCTTCCACAGAACAGCAGTTTCTATTTAAATAGAAATACAGTATCAGAAAATAAATGTTTATATAGTCATGTAGAATTTAGATAGCTAAGGGTAACAGTACATAAGTGGACAACCAGATTTGTCATTTGTCTAAATTGTTCCTTCTGATGAAGTTTAACATTACATTTTTCTGCTTGTACATTGTTTTTTGTAGTATCATTTTTTGTAGTATTGTTTGTGTACAGATTATTTAGCGAAGTTCAAGTTTCAGAGAATTGTTTATACTCAGTGAATTTTGTTTTAGACCTTTTTGTTTAGTATCATTTATGATATGAAAAAGACAAATATTCTGAACAAAGCTATAGGATTTTAAGTTCAAGCTCAGAATTTAAACATCCTGACATGATTATTTTGTATTTGGGGTTGATTGCCCTGGTGCTGTTCCAGCCCATGTACATGCTGAGTTTAGTAATCTGCCTCAAGGCTTAATCTGAGCAAGAAGGAGATACATGCTTTTTGTATCAAATCAGAAAAATGTTCTTTCAGCCATCTCAAGGACAGGACCAACTTCAGATTCCCTAAGAAGCCAGCTGCAGAAAGCTTTATGAAGTAAATCATCAGCTTCTTCAATACCAAGGGCATACCTATGAGTTGAGAATTACATGGGGGAAATTTTATAGTGACCTTACTAGCAAATGGAAATTATAGGAGTCTTCTGTAATGACCAGTTTTGAAGAGGTGCTTGTCAACAGTGTAAGTCAAGAATTCCTACTATCCACAATCCCATAATAAAACTCAGGAACTGAGAGGCAAAAGGAATTGGCTTCTAGGGATCTGAACCTTACTGCCCATACGAGTGTTGATTCATTTTAATCCTTTTTATGATTTCTGCATTGGCAGGAATTTTCATACTTTCTATGTTTTTTTAATGATTCAGCTTTTTTATTACTAAAAATAGTACATTTGAGTACATTTAGAAAATAGAAAAAGTAGAAACTGCTAATAACTTTGTGTACTGAATAAGCAAGAAATGGCATTCCAGTCATTTTAATTATTAGTGAGACTGAACATTGTGTATTTTGGGTAGCTGTGTTTCCTCCTTGGTCAACTGTTCATATCCTTTGTCCTTGTGATACCTACTGGAGTTACACTGTTATTCATATCAAGTTTTAGGGCCTGTTTATATAATAAATATAATTTAACTGATATTTGCTTGCTTTGATTTTTTTCTCAATCTATTACAGTTTTATAAATGCAGGACCATTCAGTTAAGTTTGACATCAGGTTTGTCCATCTTTTTGCATTTTGTTGTTTTGGGGATAATTTTACTATGATTTATTTTGGCTGTATTACTGATGCATTACTTTTTCATTGCTAATTCTGCCATGCCAAGGTGATACTACACTGTTGGTCTTCTGTTTAGCACAAGCTTTTCTCATTGAAAAAAAGGTTTTTGCTTTCTATTACGTTTGACCCTATTGCTTTGTCATTAAGTGTTGCTTAAGCTAACTGCTTCATCTATATCAGCCTACAGTCTTATACACCCCACCTGTCATATCTTCCCAGTTTTCTGCAATTGATACTTCTCTGCTATGCTAATACTACTAATTAATCATAGGAGTCCTTATAAAGATGGAAATTTTAAGGGGCTTTGAAATGTCTGGAGATTTATTTTCGTAACGTATTAATTTTTTAAAGAAAATTCAGACTAAAAATATTTAAATATAAACACAAAGCATGTTGACTAATAAGTTTTTAAAAGCAATGTTTGTTAGCTTTTCTGATGTAAAAGTTATATCATTATAGATTGAAAAATTATAAATTATCCATGATTCCACATGGTAAAGATAACTTCTGTTAAGTGTATGTAACATATATATATGTGTGTGTATGTGTGTATGTATGTGTGTGTGTGTATATATATATAATATATATATATCTGGTATGCACACGCACACACACACATGATTCCATATGGCAAAGATAACTTCTATTAACAGTGTGTAATGTATATATATATATATATATATATATATATATAGGTACGTGTGTGTGTATAGTGCACACACACCCACATGTACACATATATATACACACACACCTTTGTCAAATACACCAATCCCTGAGGGAAAATCAGATAATAAAAATGTGACAAATCCGACTTTCAGAGACAGACTACTGTCATTTTGCTCAATTTTTAAATCTGCAGATATTACAAAATAATACACAGTGTGCTATTCCCTAATTACCAGTGCATATGCAGTAAGGAAAACATTTTACTTTTACATAGGCAAATGCAGATGTCACCCCCCCCACACACACACACACATACACTGGCTAACAGTACACTTTGACACTTTGTAGTTTATGTGCAAAGCATAGGTATTTGATAATGTACATATTTTCTGCTTTGTAATTAAAATTTTGTTCTCATTATAGAAACAAAGAGTGCTCCATCAGAACATTTTAAAACTTCATGAACACCATAAAGAATAAAAATGTCCCATCAATAGCTCTACCAACTGTTAACTGCTGAAGATATTTCATTTGCCTGTGTGGTTTCTTGAGGTCTTTTATAATTGTATATATTGGGGTTGTAGGGAGATGTTATGAACAGTTTGCACAGAGAAACATTCAGTAGCTAGTAGATGCTACTAAGAAAGCTAACATCCTTTTATCAATTATTTTGACTTTAATTTCATCTTGATCTGCAGTATGTTTTGGAAGTGTCATGTCAATACAATAATTTCATTTCATGAATGTGCCATGTTTCACTTATTGTATTTGAGTGCACCAAATTTTTACCATTATAAAGCAAGGTTTAATACATGTATATAAAGCTTTTGCTCATGTGCATCACCTATGATACATTCTGAGTAAAATCTGAATAGAGTAAGCTTTTTTAGGTTCTTGAAACTGTTTCTAGGAATGTGCAGTATGTGTTCCCAGCAGAACTTCATGAAGTGATTATCTCAAAAGAAATCTGCAGTTCTATTTTTATATTAAAATGATTGGCGATTTTTTCTTCATTGAGCATATGTATTTCTTGCATGTGGATCATTTGTTTCTAACTTGCTTTAACCATTCTATACCCTATGAAGAATTTCCACTTCCATATATGGCATTTTAATTGGGTCATGCTATTGAATTTAATATAATCAGAGATGTCTATCTTTTTTTTTAACGTTTTGGCATTTTGGTGATAACTTGCCATTTTTTATTTTGTTAAGTGTGCCCTACAGTATCCCATTATTTGGTATATATTTAAATGATTGAATGGAGATTAAAATAAAAATACATATATTAAGTATAATTGCACAGACTACAGAACTGCTGAAGTCGTGTTTATTAGCCACAATTTGGTTCAATAACCATATATATTAATACTCTAAAATATACGGTTCCTCTGTCTCTTAGCCACTTTCTAGAGCATAATGTTATTCTGCCATCTACTGGTTGAAATTGTTCAGTTAGATTCCAGAAAAAGTTACCTCATTTAAACAAAGCAACAGTAACAACAAAAATCAAAAACTTTTGTAGGACATGTAGTAATTAATTCATTGATCATTATTAATTATATAGAGATTGCCAAAAAATATATACATAGTTCCAGGAAAGAAAAACTTGTAAATATTTTAACACTAAATTTATTAAGACACTTATGAGATTAATACAAGTTACCTTTGGCTTCTACAGTTTCAAGAGGTTCTCAAAGTGGTGGCCATTAGGTTCTAGACATTTATTAATACAGCAAACCGCTGCTTGGGTAACCGTGGTTATTGAGATTACTGCACATGGATGTTCAGTTTCTTCTGTAAAAGCCAGAAGTGCAATAGATTTTCTGTGATACATGACATCCTCTTGGGTCTCCCATATGAAGGTAACACCATGTAACACCATGTGTTACTATTTTTCTTTCCCTAAAATGTGTATACATTTTTTTGGCAGACTATAAAAATCTATGGTGACTTGATGTGTACTAAGTCAAATAATCAGAATGGCATTCCTGTAATACCAGCACTCTGGGAGGATTGCAAGTTTGAGGCCAGCCTAGGCAGGTTAGTGAGACCCTGCCTCAGAATTTAAAAAATAAAAATAAAAGCTGGGGTGTAGTTAAGTGCAAAGGCCCTAGGTTTAATCCGCAGTTACTCCCCCCACCCACACATGCACACTGGGGGGTGGTAAATTGCTTTGACTTACGGATAAATTCTTATAACTTGAATAGAAAATCTGCAATATTTCATGCAGAGTCCAAGCATTCAGAGCTACTACTACTGCTTTTGTGTGTGTATTCTGTTATTGTTTTTAATTTTTAGCAAAAAATGCTATCACAAAAATAGTTATAAACTATTCAATCACGGAATGGATGTGATATACAGTATGTCCAAATATAAGTAAATAGGAGAACCTCAAAACATTCTAAAAGCTTTCTATATTGATTTGTCCATGTGGTTATGAGTATCAAATCATTCCTACTGTAGCCATGTAACTTTTACCCAGCCCAAAAGAGACTGTATATAAGGAACACATGGCTAA